GAAAATTTGGGGCTCTATTATTTTTCCACCCAGCTTTATATCTGTTGGCTCTTCTGTATTAAGAGTGTGGATGTCTGTGTGTAAATGTGTCTGGGAATAGATGTTTGTGCTCTGATGGCTACATTATTTATTTGGTGCTTTTTTTTTCCCCCTGCAGTGGGTCGGCTCACCGTGTGGCTTGCACGGACCTTACATTTTCTACAAGGCTTTTCAATTCCACCTTGAAGGCAAACCAAGAATTTTGTCCCTTGGCGACTTTTTCTTTGTAAGATGTACGCCAAAGGATCCGATTTGCATAGCGGAGCTCCAGCTGTTGTGGGAAGAGAGGACCAGCCGGCAACTTTTATCCAGCTCTAAACTTTATTTCCTCCCAGAAGACACTCCCCAGGGCAGAAATAGCGACCATGGCGAGGTGGTAAACTTATATCTCCCTCTCTTCTTTCTTTATGATTTTTTCCCTAGTAATGCTTATTACAGGGCAAGCTTGAAAATACTGTATTCACTTCTGCAGGCGAGCAGGATCGACTCCTTTTTTAAAGGGGTAGCGCCACTAGCTGGGGCTCGAGTATTTTGCCATTGTCAGAGTTTGGCTGTCAGCTTTACAAAGAGGATCCAACTGCTGATTTTAGTCAAGATCAAATAACTTGTTCGAGAAGGGTTTTGTTCAAGGGTGTGTATGTATGTGTGTGTGTGTGTGTGTGTGTGCATGTGTGTGTGTGATCGCTTTCCTGCCACTTGAACATCACATGCTTTTTTATATTTTTTTGCCTTTTGAAAATTTACCTTCGGGTCTGGATCAGTCGGGGCTGGGTGGATTTCTTTCGGTGGGTTTCGATATTGTTCACGTGGTTTTTAAAAAAAAAAATTTTTTTTTTAAGTAAGTATTTGATATGTTTAAGAGGGCGGAAATTACGAAATGGAGGCAGAGTGAGATCAAAAGCTATTGAGTTGGCAAAGACGTGTTGAATAAAGTGATAAATGACAGGTACTGGAATAATACATTCAAATAACTTGCAGATCTGCCCGGGCGGATTTCAAAGCGGTCGTGTAACCGGCACAAACACGTTAAGCATTAACAACTATCTCTCGCCCCCACCCCCTCCCCCTCGGACAAGCCATTTGATGTTCTAGTTTTCAATTACTCCACGCCAAGTGAACGTCTTCCAGCGCGATCTTTGGGGTTGTGTGGGACGGGGACCGGGAAGGGAAGGGCAGAGGGGTGTGTGCTCGCCCACTGGCCCTACAGGTCCGGCGTCCTCCATGCCCAGACAGCGCTCCCGGGGAGGGTGGGGAGGGACCGAGCCTTCCCGGCACGTTTCTGGGCGGCCGCGGGGGCGCTCGTCGCGCTCCCGCGAAGACGCCCGAGGTGAGCCCGCTGTCACCGGGCGCCGCGGCGGCCGCGTCCCTTCGACTCTGTCATTTCTGTGTGACCGCAGTTCTGCCGGCTCCCCTTGTCAGCTCACCGACCTCAGAGCCGGGGTACCTACCAGAGGAACTATTTTGGGGAGGCAGTGCCCACGGCGCCGCGGGGAGGGAGGGCGCACCGCCGCCTGGCAAGGCTTTGTGTGGCCCAAGCGAGAGCAGGGTAATCAAACTGTGACTTTTGAGGGCAGCTAGCTCTGTACCAGGCTCTCGAGCTTTCGAGGTAGGTGTAAGGATCTTTTTGTTAAATGAATGATTCCCCGTTTAACTCATCCCGGAGCTTGGAGCTGCCTGGCAGTCTTTCCAGAATTCCTTGGTCTGATAGAGTTGATTGTACTTTTGGCATCGTCAGTTCACTCCCTCTCCCCGGGATCGAATTACCCGTCAGTGGTCTTTGCAGGTTAATTACAGGAGTTCGTCAAAACGTTCGCGCTCGGATCTGCCTCTTCGGAAATAAGCCCCGCCCCCTTCCCGAACGTACACCCTCCCGCCTCTTACCCGCTCCGTCCTCCCTCGCCAGCTTTGGGTTTTAAATGTTCACATTTCCCGACGTCTGCCTGCAATTTTACAAAGGTGTTGTTTGGAAATACTGTGAAAAATCCTGCAACCTACCAACAGGTTGAGCTCTCTCCCCCTCCCAAGGTCTCGCTCGGCCCCCTCCCCCGACCCAACTTTCCTGCGCAGCTGTCTTCCTCCTCCTCCCCCTCTCGATTTCTTATTATTTGCTTTTCAAATTTATTACTTCAACATGGCCTGTGATCTGGAAAAGGGAAGGATTAAATATCCAGAAAAGAGCTGATGCCTAATAGACTTCTGACTAAACCCAGAAGGAAATTATTCAGTGTTTTATGGGATATTTCGTGGTCACTCTCTTTTTTAATTTTTGAATGAAATTGGAATATTTTTAAAGATACCGAATTAACCCCACTTGGTCCAGTTTTAATTTCTGTTGGTGTAATTAAACAGTGAATTCTGATTTAGAATAAAAGCCAATAGTAGCTGAAGGTTGGATCTGTTAGAACTGTTGATAGTGATATATTTTTAAATAAACGATTTTAAAAAAATGTTCATTATGGGGAAACGAAAGCGAACCATTGTAATGATCTGTGCATTTTGTCACCACTGTATGAGCCATACCTGAGAAAAATTAATCTTGCCATTTAAAAGTAAACTCTAGGGGATTTGGGGAGGGAGATGGCTCTATTTATAATCCTCAGCTGCATATACATCGTTTAATATTATGCATGATTTGTTTTTTAATGCTAACACGGCTGGTAATTAGCTGTATGATTATACTTGTATATTTCATTAGGACTTTGGCTGATGTCATTGTGAATTATTCAGCCATATTAAAACAATTTTCAATTGAGATAATGACACACCTCAAAATTATGCAAATGCAGGCTGTATTGTGCAAAATAATTATGACAAATGTAAAGCAGGTAGAAAGTTTCCCAATGCAGATCGGTTTTCTTCCCTGGTGATGTCATTTTCCCCCTGGCCTAAGTTAGTCATTCATTAGCAGAATAGCAGCAGCAGTCTCCTCTGGAGGAGATCCTACAGAAACCAGCACTTACTGCTGGCACCTAGAGGGGGCAACAGGGCCCTCTCATTAAGAAATCTGCTTTGTTTTCACTTACTCCATTACCTTGTTTATACAGTGAAATGATTTTTATTATCGATTTTAAATAGTTTTGAATGATGTATTTGCCATTTGCAGTGTGTAACTGAAAGAGAAAGGTTTTTTGGTGATGTGCACTGTTACTTGGAGAAAATGTTCAGCACATTGAACCAGCCAGTACAGTTTATTTTAAGTAACCGAATGGAGGTTAATAATTTCTTGATTGAGCTGACATCAGCATCCGTTTCAAAAGGACAGCCAGGATTCAGTATGCTTTTTTGGTTTAAGAGAACCAGTCTGTCTTTTTTTATGATTTCTTGAAATGTAAAGACGTCAGTTCTAAAAGCAGGAAAATTATCATTGTGTGAGATTAGAAATAGCATCCCTGTGTGGTTTGCTATGATCTGCAAATGGCTTTTTTGGGGAATATTTTCTTATTGACCTTTGCAATAATTGTGTTATGCTGGTTAAGGCAGGACCTTGTATGCCCATTTTACAGATAGAGGCAGAAGTTTTCAGAGGTTAATATGGTTTGTCAAAGGTCACCAGGCTAGAACCTCGGCCTTCTTAAGCTTTGGGGTTGGTTTATTTTTCCACAGAAACCTACCCTTGAAACTAGAGCTTGAATACATCACATCATATTCTAGAAGTATGTACTAATGTGAACAGTTCCTTGTGCATTTTAGAACTATGACTAGTTAATCAACTTTGCTACTAGGTATTTAAGTAGCAGAACCATTCTTATTCTATAAAGTTCAGCTAATTCTAGCCAGTGGTGTATGACAATAACAGTTACATTTTAATAACATTATTAATAATCAATAATTCATTATTAGTTTTAATAATTATAATAATGATTCACATGCTTATATACACTGTTGCCTTCACTTACTTCCAGTGCTGGCAACTGGTGTTGAGAAAATCATAACAGAAAGTCACATCTTGATCTTGCAATTATTATGTATTTGACCTTGAACAGTCATAAATACTCTGAGCCTCAGTTTCTTCAGCAGCAAAATGGGAACAATAATAAGGCTGATTGTGGGTTGTTGTGAATATGAAGAGGCATTGTATGGGCAAAAGTACTTCATAAACTGTGAAGTCTTTAAATAAATAGAAAGGAGTTACGATTATGGTGGACTTTATTCTAAATATTCTTAATTTATGAACAGTAAACATAATAACTTTTATGTCTGTGTGGAGGTTCCTGTGCCTACTCACAATACTGTTTTAAATTATCATGAAAGTGAATAGCTGGGCCATATGCAAGGAGTTAAGTGTCTTCAGTAATTACCCACAATTGCCACATTCAGCCACTAGTTCTTCACAGGAGGAAAATGGCAAAGTAGGCGGGTAATTGGTTCTGTTACTGGGTAACTTCTGATTACATTCATTTTCAAACTGCCAAGTGCTTAATCTATTGGCAATATACCCTCTTAAAATAGGTGACTGTGCAAGCATGGATTTCAGCCTGACAGGCCATGGGCTGGATTCTACAAGGTTTGCTGGTCACCTGCAACTGTGGGTGTAGATGAGTAAACTAATGATGTCAGGGGGTCAAGATCAAGCACAGCTGGGCATTACAGATTCTAGCATGCAGGCAGGATTTCTAAAAGTGGCTTGACTATCATCAGCCTCACCACTGGTTAAAAATAGTTAAAAATGCCTATTCTGGATACTCTACTGAAATTAACTCAATTAAAATCTCTGGAACTGGGGTTCAGGATTCTGCAATTTAAACATTTTAAATGAGCTTGCTCTAGATATGTGATCTTAGGCAAGTTTAAAACTTTCTGTGCCTTAGTTTTCTCATCTGTAAAATGGATATATAGTACCTACTTCCTAGGATTATTTTAAGGATTAAATGAGTTAATACATGTAAAGTGCTTACAAAGAAAGTTGGCACATAGTAGATTCTTCAATAATGGTTGACTCATTATTATTATCATTAATATTAGTATTATGGTTCTCACTGATGTTTGAAATCACTACTATCAACTCTCCTAAAGAAAGCTTTTCTCTATGAGAAGGTGGCATCCAGATTAGTTTGCTAGTTTGCTAGAACGCATAGCCAGTATAGGACCCCCCAAATCAGGCTGGCTTTCATGCATATGGTGGATTTATCTGTGTCACCAAAATAAAAGGCTCCCTTCAGGATTTACATTTTAGTATTGAAGTATACTATCAACTGGAATGGCAGGATTTTTTAAAAGATTGCCTGATCATATCACATCTGGGGTTAGGCAGACACATTACGAAATCTAGGAGGTGGTGGACTGGCTTTGCTGCATCTGTGGCTGGCCGCTCAGTCTCTGGTCTGTATCCATGAGTTGTTTTTTGAACCTTAGTTTCTTCATCTGTAAAATGAA